ACATTTGAAAGGGTCAGGGTCACAGGTTAGGGAGGGCCATGTTTTTTTCATGTTTATTTATTTTTGAGAGAGGCAAGGAAGGGCAGAGAGAGGGGGACCGAGTATCTGAAGTAGGCTTTGCGCTCATAGCAGACAGCCTGACTCGGGGCTTCACCTCACAAACTTCAAGATCATGACCTGACCTTAAGTCTGATGCTTAACTGACTGAGCCACCCAGGTGCCCCAGGGAAGGCAGGTTTTAAAGGGCATCTATAGGGGCGCCTGGGTGGTTCATTTGGTTTCGATTAAGCGTCTGACTTTGGCTCAGGTCATGATCTCACGGTTAGTTGGAGTCCCGCATCGGGCTTGCTGCTGTCAGCACAGAGCCCGCTTCGGATCCCCCGTTCCCCTCTCTCTCTGCCGAACCCCACTCTTGCATGCTTTCTCTATCTCTCTCTCAAAAATAAACATTTAAAAGAATTTTAAGGGCATCTATAGACAGGGCGTGTTTGCATTGCTCCCCACAAACACCAAACACGAGGGGAACTCAATGAGAGGTCCCTCCATTGAGTACACGGGCTACCCACCCCCATCCTCCAGCTGTCACATTTGGTTCCTTTGCTGTTCTCTCTGCGGTCCTCTTTCTCAGACTTTTGCCTGCGGAGAAGACCCAAGTAACACAACGTATCGTATGTACAGACCCCACCCACCTGAGCCCTACATAAGGAGAAGCCAGACTCACTGGGAAGAACCCTGAAGCGTTGGCTGGATTTGGGGAGTGGGTGTTCTGGGAAAGGCCCGCCTTCATCACCTGAGCAGAGGGGAGAGGTCACCAGCGGACAGCGGCAGTTCACCAAACGCGGAGCCGAATGATGCCATTAGGAGGGCAATTTTACTCTCACCAGCAAACCTGCTTCACTGACTTGGGAGGGACGGGGTGATGCAGTGGTTAGGGACCTGAGTGCTGGACCTGAACCCTGGCTCTGCCACTTGCTAACTGCATGATCTTGAGCAAGTCACATCACCTCTCTGTGCCTTAGTTTCCCCCTCTGTTAAAACGAGGGTTAGTAAGAGCTCTTCAGAGGTTTGTTGCAAGGACTATAGGAGTTAACGAGACAGTAGCTGGTGCCTGATGAGGGCTTTGTGAAAGTTAACTACGCTGAGTATTCATTGCACTCCCTGGGTCGGAAACACCAGGTAAAGGTGGCTCACAGTTTTATTAGAAAGTAACTCGCTCCTCAACCTCACAACGACACAGAGACCTACCACTTGTGGTAGCAACATTAGCTGAGAACAGCAGGAAGGTCAGGAGAGTGAAGTTCAAGGCCAGGAGCGCGGGGAGAGGGCACAGGCTCAAGAGTCACTTGTCTCTCCACTCAGTGGGAGAGCTCAGAGCATCCGTGGCCACATGCGGCCAGGTAGGGGGGGGCTTCGGTTTTCTGGGTCTCAGTTTTCTCATCCATCAAACGGGGATAAGAATAGTCCTGTCCCTTCTGCGGAGCTAGCATCCTAAAAGGCATTCTGGGCAAGGGGACCGCAGGAGCTGAGGCCTGGGAGCCTGAAAGCAAAGGAGTGTGGCCCGGGATGCTCGAGAGGCAGGGTGCTTGGGAAGGGGGGACCGTGGGGTACAGGGCAGCGTACCAACAGGACTCCCTGCTGAATAAGACAACACAGTATGACTCTGGTGGTTGTTTCCTTTTCGGCCCTAGAAATGCGAGGTTTCTCTCTCTGAGGCAGAGAGGAAGTAAAGATGTGGAGCCCCCAGAAAAGGGGCACCCTAAATGCTGGGCCTTTTGTCAGACGCTTCTAACCCTGGGATGGGGAAATGAAAATGCTATTGAACTCAGGGCTTTAAAGGAAACAACCACCAGGGAGAATGTCTCCGACGGCAGAATTCCAGACAGAGGGAAAGCTAGTGAGGAAACACTGACCCACACTCCCGTGTTGCGTGAACGTCTCAGGGCCCATCTGCACTCCCAGGGAGAAACTGCCAGCTTTGAAAAGCAGTTTCTGCAAAGTGTCTTGAGTGCTTGAGGTATTTGTAGACATTTCAGAACAAGAAAAACCCTTCAAGAGAAGCAGGGCACCCCTACTCCTACCTGACCAGCTCTGATGCCTTCTCCCCACCCCACCACTAGGACACTTTTAGAACCTTCAGGAAAACAAAGGCTTTGGGTTTTTTGGTGTGTGGGTTTGTTTGTTTGTTTGTTTGTTTTTTTAATGATGTATTTCTTCTAATGCACTAAGACGAATCAGTTTCTTTTCTTTAACATTTTTTAAGTTTATTTATTTATTTTGAGAGAGAGAGAGAGAGAGAGAGAAAAGGAGGAGCAGAGAGAGAGAGAGAGCGAGAATTCCAAGCAGGCTCTGCACTATAAACGCAGAGCCCAACAACGGAGCTTGAACTCACGAACCGTGAGATCATGACCCAAGCTGAAACCAAGATCCGGAAGGAAGCTCGACCAACTGAGCCACCCAGGCGCCCCAGGACAAATCAGTTGCGAAAGAAGAAGATAAAATGTTGACTTTATTTCACCGTGGAAAATGGGTGCTCGGAGATAAGAATCATCTTATATAAAACAATCACAATAAATAAATAAATAAATAAAAATAAATAAATAAGAATTGCTTCAAAGGGGCTCAGGGAGTTGATGAAGAATCAGACGCAGATGTCTGCATCAGCACTTCCTCTTAATGCCTTCTCAGCACTGTGTGGGGGGGAGAAAGGGTGATGACGGCGTCAGGCGGGAAACTGAGGCAGGATCTGAGCTTCCCCACACTGGGTGTGATCCCTGCCACCACCACCCGCCCCCCCATCCTCGGCTGATCTGGGTGTTTGAGGCTTTAGAACAATCCACTCTCTGGACCTCAGTCTCCTCATCTGTAAACTGGCAATTATTGCTGCCCTGGTGATCCCGTCCTCTGCCTTTGAGGCTATAGACAGGCTGGGGGAAACCAGGAGGAAAACGTTTAGGACTCTTTCTGCTCCAAGGAGATGCAGCCAGAGAATGACTGGATTCCATCCTAAGGCGACTCTGCCCCTTTTGGCCAGAGAGGCAAGAGAAGGTGGTAGGGACTCGTGGACATAGTAACGAATGATGTCCACATTTAATATTTCCAGAAAAGCGCCCCTTGGCCCTAAGCACTGTCAGCAAGAGAGAGTAAAACCCAAGTGTCTTTTTCTCAGAATTGGTTCCCAGAGACAATAACCCAGAAGTGGTTCCGATGGTGGGACCCATAGGAGTGGGGCAGGGGGATCAAGCTGGCAGGGAGGGGGCTTACCATTGCAGCCCAGGCCACTGAGGGAGCCAATCCGGTCCAGCCTCCGGCCAAAGCACCTTGAATCACGCATCATCTTGGAACTGCCTAGTCGTCTCAGGGCCCCGAGGACATTGTCACGGGGCGCAAGGACCCTCGCAGGGGGTTCCTCCTGGGCCTCCCAGGATTCTGCGGGGCTGTGGCCCTGCTGGAGGGGTCCCAGGGCCATCTGGGCTTCCTGCAGCTCTGAAACTGTGTCCCGCAGACCGTCCAGCAGCTCCTGCAATGCGTGGGGACAGCCCCAGCCTCAGCAACCCGCACCTGGCCAAACCGCCCTAGACGGAGCTGAGATGAACCAACCACCTTAGGTAGGGGTCCTGGCACCCAATCCGGTTGCTTTCTAATCCCTTATCACTAATTCGCTAGAGGGGCTGAGGACCTTTTGGGACAATAGCTCAGGACCCGTTCAACTGCTGCTACCCACAGCAGCCTTTTCGCAGGCTGAAGCTCTCTCACCTGTATTGCGGACGCTTCCGAGGCGGGGCCGGGGCCGCCCAGCGGGT